CGAAAAGAACTTTAACTACAGCATACTCATTTGGCAACATAATTTTAGAGCTTTGCTGTGAGTTCTCAATCTCTTCCTCTTGGGCATTTATCTCATCATCAGATTGAATATCAAAGCTACTCTCATGAATTAGAATAATCTGCGTCGATGTCTGAAGAGTCCAGTTCTCTGGAAATATTCTTCGCATTTTTTGGATTGATGGCTGAGAAGAGTTTAGTTACGTTCTCTATTGTGCATTTTTTCATTTCCAGCAAACGTTTTTCCTTCTCTGTAGTTTGTTTTTCTTTTTCAGCCAGTTCTTTTTCCATACGTTCTTTATTAGGTGTGGATGTAAGCAACTCAGACTTCAACCCTTTTCGTTTTCTCCCTATTTGTATTTTAGGAAGAGGGATTATATCTTAAGGAGTTAAACGAGCTTGATAAAGAAGAACATCTTCATTCAACGATATCGTTTTCATAGCAGCATGGCTGCTGCTTGGTTGCACGTCCTCGTCTATTGCAACAGCAAGTAGATTGTTACATATCTACTTCTTTTCCAACGGTAAGTGATACTGAAGTGGATTGCGGATCATACGCTTCAAAGATAGCTTGCACAACATCTAGCTCATCACCATCATTATTAAATATAATCATTCGATCATTATCGTCTCGCTCTTCTTCTGACAGCTGGTCTGTCACCTCTGATGGTGAAAACTCCGCGTCCGAGAAGATATTCGCGTTAAAAGGATAAATACCAGTTGCTTTAAAAGCTTGAACTGCATTTTCAACAGTGCTCACTTTTTCAAAAGCTAACTTGAATGTCTCGGCAACATTATAAACGCTGAAGGTTTCTCCTGGATAAGAAACATCCCACGAATCAACTGCTGCATCATAATAAGCCTTGATCGGCCGGAAAATACAACGATCAAAAAGTTGGGTTTTGTGACTACTGTGGAGTGGCAATGAAAGCAGGTGGATGTGGTTTGATTTTGCACAAGTTTGTGAGAAACATGGTTATCAAGTATGAGCAAAATTGGGTTGGTCTCGCTTGGTTTTGCCTTTGATTAGAAGCCGATTTTCTTTTTTTCGTGCGTAGATGAACGGTGGTACAAAATAGCCAATAGGACTCAACACACATACAGCGGGTACTGTGGGAACAACGTATTTTGGAAGTATATTTGTAACTGTTTGTTTGTAACCCTGTTTCGTCCATATTGAAGAGTTGGCTGGTAGTAAAACTGTATTTCTTCATGTCTGCCTATAAGTTACCAAAATATTGAAAAAGTTGTACCTTATTAAACCCTATTGTTCGGGCAATGCTCGTTTTCCGTGGAACACGCAGAGATAGCTTGTTTCTTTTCATGAAGGCTAGCGTGAAATCCCTTCCAGCTAGTTCCGCTTCAGCCGAAAATTGATGAGGAAGGTTGTTCTCATTTTAAGGATCAAGTAAAGCAAGTTACTGAGCACAGCTACTCAAATGCGTAAGGCAATGCTGCCAAATAGTGAAAAATTATTAACAATTCTAAATGCATACCAGTTAAGGGTTATGGTGGTTTTAGTGGCAGAACAATATTTATGAAGTTAAGTGTTGAAAAACTTCATAAATAAGCTTCTTTTGGCTATAAATTGATTGTATACGTAAATATTAATAAGATGATATTGCCTTGTATAAGTAAGAGTTAAAAATGTGCTTTTTAAACAGTGTACTTACCATTATTCGAAAAGATTTGTAAACAAAATAAAACGCAATATTGTTTTAAGTCTTTATCTATTTACTTCAATTTGATAACTATATTACTATATCGGCAATATAAATTTTTTACCAACAAGTGGAGAGAGCCCTTACTATAACACAACGTTAAATTTACCTTTAATAATAGGGGGTTATGATAGACAAGTTATGTTATTTTTAACAGACATGTTATTTGTGAACAGGTTGTTATTTCTGTGTGTTTATAAAATAACAGACCTGTTAAAAATAACACAGTTTGTCAATCATAACCCCCATATACATTTAAAAATATTAAAAAATTTAATAAATAACGAAATTCGATGGGAAGATGTATTTTTATTTACTCTTATATCAAAATTGATTTAATACAAATCCTTTATATTCAAAATCTAAAAAAAATTAATTATTTTATAAATATTTAAAAAACAGTTCGTAAAAAATTCTAAATACCCATTTACCATCTCATCCCATGCTGTAAATATATTGGGGTCCATTTAGTGCACCGTTTTATACAAAATATAATGGTCTTTTCTCTGTCACAGACAAGAAGTGTACCTGTCTTCGATAAAAAAACTAAATCATAAACCTTTATGTTTCTTTGCAAGAAATTTTGAAAAGCGCTTAAAAAATCATTATCATCACTAAAAGTCAATATCTCAAGTAAAAATATATTTCATTTTATTTCATGTTAAAAGTAGTAAAAACTCAAATTTCTTTCATGAATTTTCACTTTTCTTATTATCCTTTAATGTATATCTTTTTTATGCTATTCTAAAAAATATGTCACTCTTCTGTTTTTTCTTCTACTACTATCTTCCACTGATTCTTCATATTTTTTTCTTTAAATTGTTTCTTTTTTATATCATATAAGATCTAGTGAAAATTGTGAAATATATTTTTGCCAGTTGATTTTTTAAACTAATTCTTATATAAACTGAGATCATAATAAAATATTAAAAAATTATGAAGACTGCTAGTGTTTAATAAAATGTAGTTTAAAAACTTCCTGACTAAGAAGGTATTGACTATTTTTCGTTTTTTGTTACCATTCATAAATCGGTCTAGTCCCACCAAAAAAGCATCATCGACCCATTTTCATTCATTAATCTTAGCTACGATTAGTAGTAGAATTTTAGATCTAGTTATTTTCCAAAAAAAAAAGAAACAAAAACAAAAATAACGTGTATGGCATGAACGAAATTTTTGAAAAATATCGCGAGGTACTAGGTCTCTTCGGTAGCTGACTAATATAATCAATAAATATTATTATTAAAACTTTTATTAATATTACTTTTTATTAGCATAACAGTAGATCACTTATAGTATTTCATGAAATGTTTGCCTTCATGTTTGAAGTAAGTCAATACAAACTTTGTATCAGGAAATTAGAAATGTCCACTAAGTGCAATATTAATTAATATTATTTTTAATGTTAAACAGTTAGGAATTGCATTTTCTACTGTTCTTATTAAAAAAAAATAAAAAACCTTTTACAAAGTTGACCCTCAACAAAAATATTTATCTATTCTGCATCCAGTTTTTCTAGTCACTGTGATCTCACACATATTTAGGACTTTTAGTGATATTTTATTATTTATTTATATTTAGGAATATAATATTTCGTTATGCAAGCCAAACTATTCTAGTCATGTTTCGTACTTATTCAGTTATACATAATAAGTATTATAGTTATTATTAATGAATATATGAATATATTTATTTTCTCTTGAAAGCATTTACTAGTTTTAAACGTAAGAATCTCAGGTTACAAATTAAATATTAGATGTTAAAATTATGCGGCATTTTATGTCATCACTATTTGATCTACTGTTAGCAAAACAACCCAACATTATTATGCTGGGACCAAAACTTTTTAACATCTATATAGTCCATTTTTAAAAATAACGCTGTTAAACTATTAGAACTTTATTATTTATTTATTAATTTATTTGTTTACTTATTTATGTATTTAACTTATTATGTATATATTAGTAGACAAGCTTCGTAGTGTATTTATTATTCAGGTAAAACAGTTTAGTAAACTTAGTAGTATTTAAAATCGATATCCTGAATTATTTGCGTTGGAATTCGGGAAATGTGTTTTCTACTAAGAACTAAAATTATTTTACTTGAATCATTTAGAATTTCCTTTTAGTAACTTGAAATTATTCAAGATGGTTATCAATGTAAGAGTGTCCAAATGAATTTACGAAATTAGGAGAAATTTCTTGCATGCAAAATACTTATGAGGATATTCAGTTTTTAAAGAATTTTCATAAAAATAACAAAAATAAAAAATATACGGATTTGTATTTAAGAAACAATAGAAACAAAATATTTATTTTTTTATATTTTAATAATTAAGGGTCATTCTCAAAAAAATGGAAGACACAGACGTTCAAGATTTTTAAAATAAAACTTTACAATAGACAGATTCTTACAACTAAAATTGGGTTATACTGTATTTGCAAGTATTGCCTCCCCCCATCCCCTTTGGTCACGATTGATTTTATTTTTATGAACAAAATGTAAGGATTACAGAGTCCTGCCCACGGAAATTATTTGACACGTCCACGGACGTGATGTATTGTTGCATGGAATGAAATATATATGTATTTCATGGTGCACGATGTAAAGCAGTTTGATAAAAACCGTTACAATTTATATAGCGTCTCAAGTGCATTTTAACTATACCTTCATTCTTACAAAACACACTTGTGAAACTGTTATTAGGACGTTTTTACAAATTGGAGAAAGATGAAAGGTCTTTGGAAAAAATATATTCATCCCCTTCATTAAATTTTGGGTTTGGTACCATTCTAATCTCCGTTTCGTCAATAACAGCAATATCTTGTTTATCAGGAAAGAGGAATGATTTGTGGGGTACCTTTTTTATAAATGAGACTGTGTACTCTTGTTCTTCATCTACGGATAATATTCGTGCAACGTAGTGACGAGTAATTTTTTCCCTGATATTTTTACCATGACAAACATGCCTTCTTTGCATTTCTCTGGCTTTTTTTTAAATCAGCGAGGGGAAGGTTGAATCACTGTCGTTTGATGAATAAACATCTTTATATCGCCATTGCTTTTTCTCTTATTTCTTTTGAACTTCCCTTACTGTGTGTCGCTATCCTGAATTCAACTAAACCAAAATGTTCACAAGAAGTTGGACATTCTAGGCAACTGAGCCTCCTGATGGAAAATTTGCGCGTACTTAACGTTTCTTTGAACACTGGTATATTTTTTGGTACATATTTGTCCATTTCTATAATGGACTGGTCAGAAATCAATAATACTTTTCCTGCAACTCTATCAGGAATATTTCTAAGTTGTGTAAATCTTTGCCTCGTGCTACAAGGTTGTCAGCACTTCGTTTTAAACATCCACCTACACCATCAGGCGCTCCTTTTTTATGTCCAGCCTTACTGAAATAACAAAACATGTTTTCTGTGCGCAGATATTTTGTTAAGTGAGTTGATGAAAGGTATGTTATATTATGTTGGGAATGGGATGTTAATACATTGCGACTTAAAAGATCTATTGTGCTCCCTTCTGTCGCCAATGCACCAAGGAAATGTCTCAATGCCTATAACGACCCTTTCAATCCTATTTTCTAAAGGAAGTGTAGGATTTGAAGTGGCTTCAAGTTAGGTAAATCTCCCTCTTCTATTTGATATCCTCCTAGATATAGTGCCCTTGGATTCTGGAGTACTACACATTCAGTTAGGATGTGAATAGACGTTTCGTCCTCCTCCTCACAGAATCTGCACTCACTATCCTCTACTACTCTCAGTTTACTTAGGTGTCCTTTTAGTTGGCAATGCCCGTTAAGGATCCCTGTTACAATATGTAGCCTTTTCTTGCTCCGGCAGATGCAGGCTTTCGATCTTTTCTGGTTATATTCACCCAGAAGTATCTTGGCCTGTCTCACCCCCAAGAGATTGTTCCAATTATCAGTTCTTCTACTGCCCAATTCTTTTTTAATCTCTCCTAATATTATGTTACTGCTGTTATCGCAAAACGACTCAGGTCCTAGAAAGGGTGTTTGAGCCCCTTTCCTTGCAAGACTATCTGCAATCTCGTTACCTTGTACCCCGTTATGTCCCGGGACCCAAGTGAGAGTAACTCTATTTTTATCGCCTAGCTCATTCAATTGTTCTAGGCATCTCCAGACCATTTTTGAGCTGATTACGTAAGAGCTTAGCGCTTTGACGGCTGATTTACTATCGGACATGATGATAATCTCTTGTCTATGATAGTTTCTCTCGATGTTAAACTGGATACACTTCTCGATGGCATAAATTTCCGCCTGGAAGATACTTGGGTATATTTCCAAGCTTTTGGAGTGCTTGGTTCTCGGCCCATATACTCCTATTTCAGTTCCTTTTATGGTTTTGGAACCGTCCGTATACCACTGAATAGCCCGTCTTTCGATTGCAAGCGCGATGGAGTCTTGGCTGTATTCTTTCTTGCAGCCCAGCTCTGAGGTTTTGAAGTTTTTCACAAAACTGTACTTCTTTAGCATTTCATCCAGGGGCATGTCCCAGGGTATCTTTAGTCCTGAAGCTAGTAGACTTTCGTCTGATTACTCCGTTCCTGATCATTCTACATCGTGTCCTTTTTGCCACATTCTCTATCATCAAACGTAGAGGGGTGAGGTTTAAGATCACCTCCATTGCGGCCGTAGGACAGGTTCTCATAGCTAAACTATAGTAAGTGATGATTGGTCTCACTATTGCAGTATACATCCATCGCAATATGTTTGGGTTACATCCCCATCTTTAGCCTGCAATGTTTCTGCATACCATTAGGGCTTATTTACTACTTCTTTCTCATGTGTATTCCAGAGAAGTTTGTGGTCCAGGGTTTGACTTAATTTTTCCATTCTATTTTTATCCCGTCTAATTTTACGGTTTTGAGATTAAGTTTTCTTTTTTTTTCTTTTGATGAAAATTAAAACACAGTCTTGTTTCGATACTGGATCGCTGGACCATCACTAATAACATGTATGGTTTTCAAGTCAGGGACCAAAATGTTAATACCTTTTAAAAGAGGCATCAAATGGGCACATATTGCTGCTGGACCATGCCTTAGACAATTAGAAAATGTTGCATATGAAATAGGAGTAGCATTTTTACTACAGTAAGCAACAGATGTGTGAAGACTTACTTGTTTTTTGATGCTACAAAATTCGATCCTGAACTTCAGATGTATATTTAAGGACATAGTTTTCTAAAAAATCGATGTGCAATATTACCTCGTTGTCTGATAGATTCTTCTTAAGAACATCCAAAGCCCTGCATTGGTGGTTGATGTTGCATACGTGTTGTATAAATGTTGGTAATAACGTCTTAAAAATATTTATAAGCTTCCATAATTGTTTTAAAGCAAACCTATTCCTTTCCTTTTATGTTCAATTTTTCTTTCCTTGTCGTCCATTTCTCGTAAGCCACATCCTCATTCTTTTCATAACAGTTAAAAACGGGACGCAGCAATTAAGACATTTTCGTTCCAAACACCTTTCATCTGGACTGCTTCCACAACATCATTTACTGTGGATTCTTCAATAATTTTATTTTTCTTTAGGCTTTGCATTATTAGAGATATATCTGTGGTCAGGCTTTAATATCCAGAAACAAAACGTTGAATAAGGCATTTTCTTGTATTCTGGATATGAATTCACAAACTTTATGCGCAAATTAATAAGAGAATCATTTAGAAGTCTTTTGTGCTTCTTAGTTTTACGTCTAGTTATTGTTTCCTTTTTACCTGCAGTCATTCTGCTATTCTCATCTTTTTCTAAAAATTCAGCAACCTTCTTCTGTGCTCGGAATATTATATAATCAGACAGACTTACGTGCACGTTTGTCTAACTTCATTAAAGGTAATTTTCCTATATGAGTCACGACTTGTGTTTCCTAATTACTTCACCACTTAACATTGAAAGGAAGTATCTCCTATTCTTTTTCTCTTCTCTAAGTAAACACTTTTTCTGCAAAGAGTAGTTTTTTGCTTACGTGCGGCGAAAGAGTTTGATTTTTTAGCAATCGATTAGCTTTCGAGATGAATTGAGTTTATCTTGTGTAGCTCTACTGATAGGTTTCTTATACCTATTCACAGTTTTTTAGAGGGAAATGACTTGATTCTGTTTCGTACTTTATCTCGATTTTTCTTACAAATTTTTTTCCACATTCTTTAGAAGTACTTTGTCTAGAAGTAGATGGCTCTTCCAAGGGTCGCTCGACTGCTTGTGGACTATCTGGTGGAGTTGTCGAGTCCAGAAAGTTATTTAAGTGAATAGCGTTATTTGATATTTTTTTCTCCTCTATGTAGTTCTTAGAACGTTCCCTCCAATGTTTTCTCATTTCTCTTTGTTCTCTTTCAATAAGGTCCTGCATAGAAAGCCTAGTCTTCTTTCGCTCTCTATCTTTTCTTTATTCCTCATCATATTTTACTTGATCAGTTTTCGACCTTTCTCTTCACTCTAATTTATGGTCAGTCTTTTTCTTGGTTTTGGCCATTTAAAATAATACTGTTCTGAAAGAAAAGACATTTCTTTATTGGTCTCAAGATGTTCATAACTTAGAAAATATAAAAAAGATATACATAGCAACTTAAAAATAACAAATACTGAAATCATCACAAAGAAAATTAAGAGTTAAGATTAAGAATGTTAATAAATATAATGTTATTACGAATATTTATAAAAATGCATTAACAGTTTTCAAACTTTGAATTTCAACTGACTCTCCACGGACTTGTGTTGTCATGCTCTGTAGACTAAAAAAATAACTTTAATTTCACTTAATTTTTTTTTGTGGCAATCTTATTCTAATAAAGACTAAGGTTTGACATATATCAACGAAATAAACGCAAACATTACGGAGAAAAAATAAATAAATCGTAACTTGACCCGCTTTCTCCCCCTTTTTTTGAGAATAACCCTTAAACACATTGAGTTTTCAATATTTTTTAATTGGAAAACCTGGAAAAATTGTCATCATAAAAATATTAAATAGCTTTAGCTATATACTATCAAATTTAATTACTTTTTATCTTATATCCTCTTATTATATTAATGGAAAATTATTAATTATGGTAATGTTTTAAAAAACTGTGGATCCTATTTTTAAATATAAAACGCATATCTATAGAATGCATTATTTAATTATACAGACTCATCTATCAATGATGACTACTGTTTGTGTTCTCCAGTGATAGATGGAGATGTATCAACAAATTACTGTTAAATATATAATAATATAAAATCATTTGGACATCACAAATGCAAATGGGTAATTATCATGAATAAAATCGAGTTATATTTATCAATTTTTTAATGAACGCGCGAGTACCTATTGTCTATCGAAATAACAAAAAAATACATCAAACTGTAGCCATACTTCGTTGCATGTCGAGTTTTATTACATTTTACACAAAATAATTATAAATAAATTACTAACAATATATTATATTATATTATAATAGTAGATAATTTAAATTTAAAATATTTATAACCTGCTAAAGTTGTAATACGATAACTATTGTAAAAACATATGAATAAATAGACAATGATTGCGTAAGAACTTTCTATATACATGTATGAAATTACATATTATTTTTTTTACACTGTCAATTTTGCTGGTGTTTAATATTTCATACAATAAATTTATGGCAAAATCATTAGTTTTACAATATAACTTTTAATATATCAGGAATATTGTATTATAAAATGCCCGTCGCAAGTTAGGGAAGTTTTGCAGTCCAAAATATTTAAATTAGCTCAAAGTCAGGTTCTTTTAATCCATTAAAGAATAATTACTCAACGGCAGATATCTCTCAAAAATCTATCTTTTGAGTTTTGACAATTTAGATTCTAAAGATAATGGCCTGTCATAACTAAAGGATCTAAATTCTTAATTTTTGATTCTCCAGAGTCTAAAGATCATGTCCTGTGAGATATAAAACACATAGGAACCAAAAAATTGTATTAAAATACATAAAATTTAAAGCAAATAATTATAAAGCCTTTTAGAATAACGTGACTTATTCCTGAAGATCAAAGAATAAAGCAAGAGTTTTTTGTTCACTTATTTTACTATATCTATATATTTTTACTTACTATACTTAGAGTAAATAATTTTATTAAATAGTGATACAGGTAAATATAAGGCCAAGGAAGAAAATTTTAGTTTTGCAGAATTTATTTTAATACATCTGTCATTAGAGCGTTCATTCATTGTATATACTTTATTAAAAATAAACTTTATGGATTAAAAGAATTTGACTTTTAATTAATTAATTAATTAATTAATTTTTTATCATGACATGATCGATTATAGAGCTAACTTAAAAATGCTCAAATCTTCATACATAATCTCTTATTGAAGAATCATTTTCAAAAAAAAAAAAACATCATGTCGCTATTTATTATTATATTTATTATTACTAAC